TCTTTCTTTCTTTCTTTCTTTCTTTCTTTCTTTCTTTCTTTCTTTCTTTCTTTCTTTCTTTCTTTCTTTCTTTCTCTCTCTCTCTCTCTCTCTCTCTCATCTATCATCTATCTACCTCTCTCTCTCACACACACACACACACACATACACACATCTATCATTCTCTCTCCTATCTATCTATCTATCTAAAAAGACCGAAGCGTGCCAAGGCTTGGAATGGGCAGCCCCGCTTGGAAACATCTGAAACCCCAACTCAAGTCCGGAGAAGGACCGAAAACGGCTTTCCTTCTATCTTGCAAGTCAGCAAAACAGGAAGAAGCTGGCTCGGGCAGGGGGCTGCTGGCGTATGCCGGGACCCCACCCGGGGGACAGAGCGTGTCCCTTGACCTTGGTTGCCGGTGGCGGGAAGGACGCTCGGCAGGAAAACAACAGGATGTCTCTCGGCCCGAGGCCCAGCGAGCGACTGCGAAAGGGGGGGAACGAGAGCGAAAGCCCGCCTCGTTTTGCCAGGCGTGTCATTGGGTATAAAGGGGTGCCCGCCTGGCCTGGCACCTTTGCATCTCTCTTTGGGAACGGTGGCAAGGCCAGCAGGGGTGGGGAGCAGTCCTGGGGCTTGCCAGGATGCATCCAACGGACATGGTCCCCAATCGTGGTTAGTTGGTTACAATCTGGATTGCCAAGGATCTCCTGCTTTGGGCAGTGGGTTGGACTAGATGACCTACAAGGTCCCTTCCAACTCTGATTACCTGTTATCTGTTATTTAACTCCAGAGGCATTCGATGTTTGGGGTGGTTTTTCCTGCTGCTTCCGCTGTGGAAGTTGCAGCGCGGTTCTGGATTCGAGCATAGAGCATCCAGAGATTCCCAGGGGATCTTGTGACGGGGAGTTCCAGAGGAAAACTGGACATTGCTCCAAAGAAGCTTTGAGCCCCTCTGGTTCCTTCTTGGGGCCTGTTTTATTAAACTCCAATAGCTTCAGAGAGGTTGAACTGGTTCCCACCAGCTCTGAATCGTGGTTATTGTTGCAAGATTGAAAAAGCTACTCCGCTTTTCCACTGGCATAAACCAGGACAAACCCTCAATGGTGGTTTCTTCCCCAGGGTGAAAGCTCCCCCTGGGGAAAGGTGAGGGTCTCCTTTTATAGAAAAAAAAAAGTGGATTTAATTTCATTTTGGGGTGGTTTTTTTTTTGTTTTTCTTACTCGTTGAGTAACTTTGCTCGTCAAAGCAAAACGAAGCTCCTTTGAATGGCACCGTTTTTCCTCCTCCGCCCCAGCTGAATTTTTTTTCCCTCCTTGCTGCCCAGGCTTTGGCCAAGCGGGAGGTCAGCTCTGCCCGGGCGAGGAAGGCAGGTTGCTAGGTTTTTATCGTGCCTGGCAGCTCGGCTGGCCAGTCCTCCCGACGGGGGGGGGGGGGAGGGGGGGGAGGCATTGGCTGCTTCCTTGCAAAGAGTCATCCAGAGGGATTTGAGAAAAGAGAAAGGAGAAAAGAGAAAGGAGAAGGGAGAAAGGAGAAAGGAGAAAAGAGAAAAGAGAAAAGAGAAAAGAGAAAAGAGAAAAGAGAAAGGAGAAGGGAGAAAAGAGAAAGGAGAAAAGAGAAATGAGAAAAGAAAAAGGAGAAGGGAGAAAAGAGAAAGGGGAAAAGAAAAAGGAGAAAGGAGAAAAGAAAAAGGAGAAAAGAGAAAGGAGAAAGGAGAAGGGAGAAAGGATAAAGGAGAAAAGAAAAAGGAGAAAGGAGAAAGGGGAAAAGAGAAAAGAGAAAGGAGAAGGAAGAAAGAATGAGGAAGGGAAGGAAAGGAAAAGAAGTGAGAAAGGAAAGGAAGGAAAGAAAAAGAAAGAAGGAAAAAAGGATCAACATTCAGAGGCCTGGCAACTGACTCATGTTTATAATGGTCACAGCTATCCAGGATCATGTGATCCCTTTGTGTGACATCCCATGGGGAAGCCAGATTCGCTTAATGACTGTGTGACTCACTTAAGCAGGGATCTACTTACATATATATCATTATGTGTGTGTGTGTGTGTGTGTGTGTATACAGTACGTATATTCTATCTAGCTTTAGCTATCTATCAATCTGTCTATCATCTTTCTATTCATCTCTATTCATCTTTGTCTATTCCATCCATCCATCCATATCTATCTATCCATCCACCTAGCCATCCCTCCATCATCTCTATCTTTTCTATCTATCCTTTTTTTTTACGGCCAAGAGAGAGTCCCAAAAGTGGACCAGATCCAAACTCCCCCACTCTTTAACTCCTCGGCGGGAAGGCCCCGGGGACGATGGGCTTTGTCGTCCTATTCCCTGAGAGGAAAGCATCCTATGAACCGAACGCAAAGGGGTTTTAAAGACCCCACCCACCCACCCACCCCCTCCGCCCCCTGGGCTCTTCCACCCGACCGGGAGTCCCCGGGTGCTGATGTGGGAGTCGTTGTGCTGCTTCCCCCGCAGTTGTGTACGTCTGTTGCCCGCCCGACATCTTCCGTGGCCTGATGCTCCAGGCGCACCGGGAAGGGCTGACCGCCGGCGAGTATGCCTTCTTCTACATGGACCTCTTCGGGAGCAGCCTCCAGAGCTCCCGGTTTCCCGACCCGACCCTGCCTTGGCGACGTGGGGATGGGAACGACGGGGCGGCCCGTGAGGCTTACAAGGTGAGTGTGGGGCAGCCATGGGTCCTTGGCCCATCCTGGGTCAGAACCGCATGTCCGAATGCGCTGGGAGGTGGGCCATTTTCTTTCCAGGTGTAATTTTGGTGCCAGGGGCTGAGGGTTGAAGGGCCAAAATGTTGGCTTGGATTCGGGGGGGGGGGGGG